ACTTGATATCAGACGTGTGCTCTTCCGATCTCCCCAAAACCCCAAAACCCCGTCGAGCAGTATAGATGAAAATTTCATTAATCTATTATTAAAGATATTGATGATCATAAATAAATAGAAATTATATCTAATTAAGTATATTCTAAACAAATTTAAGATGGTTGAATTCAGTAGAAACATTAATGATTTTTATAAAATTGAGGGAGATCTTGGATAGTACGTAGAGCCATTATTTTTATCTCAATACTTGTTTATAGAGGAAGTTTTGCAGTGGTAAAGAAGGGCGTTAATAAAAAAACTGGGGAGAAAGTAGCTATTAAAATTATACCAAAGTAAGTATGAGCTGTTTCGCACATATCATCTAATTTTGTTATTAGGAGCTAGTTGAATGAGGATGACCGTATTGGCTTGCAAAATGAAATAGACATTTTGACTCATGTCGACCACCCTAACATAGTCAAATTATTCGAGGTTTATGAAGATGAGAGTTCATATTCATTAGTAATGGAATTGATGACAGGAGGAGAGGTAAGTGATATTCATCATCCTCCTATTAGTCTTAAAGATATATGATCATTATATAGCTGTTTGACACTATCCTGGAGAAAGAGCATTACAGCGAAAAGGAGGCATCAGAGACAATTAGACCAATAATTGATGCCATAGGGTATTGTCATTCCCTAAACATCATACATAGAGATATCAAGGTAATCATTTAAAACCTTTACAAACTACAATGTAGCCTGAGAATCTTTTATACTCCTCAAAAAATCCATCTTCCAGAGTAATTAAGGTGTCTGATTTCGGACTTGCCAGGTTCATATCTTCTGAGACACTTGCTACGACAACCTGCGGAACACCAGGTTATGTTGCACCAGAGATCCTAGAATAACAACCTTATGGGAAAGAATGCGACTACTGGAGCATAGGTGTTGTTCTCTATATATTGTATGATACTAAAATAATTCAATAATTATACTAGATTGTCAGGATTCCCTCCCTTCTTCGACGAGGAGAATGACAACATGAGACTCTTTGAAAAGATAAAGAAAGGTAAATACGACTTCCCTTCTCCTACTTGGGACTGTATCTCTCAAGAAGCAAAGGACTTGATAAAGAATTTGCTAATCGTAGACCCATCAAAGAGGATGAATTGCGAGCAACTATTGACAGTAAGCTACATTATTTCGTGTCTTCAGGATAATTAATATTTATATAGCATCCATGGATTCTTGGAGAAACTTCAGCAGATAAAATGATAAAGAGATAATGATGAATAAATATAGACTTTCAATGCATCTAATAAGATTTATTGTCAAATCTTCTATTAAATTCTGTCAATTAAATAATTAACACATACTCTACTCTTTACATAATAGCTACCAACGGGGTTTTGGGGTTTTGGGGTTTTGGGGTTTTGGGG